TATATTCGTGCATAGATATACACGTATATGAGATCATATTCTACGTCTGTTGGGCGTGAGTTCAGCTGCAAGTAGAGTAGCTTAATCAAATAGGAGCTAAATTTTCTCATGTAGCTACAAGACCAGTGGTTGCTGGGTTTGGTTCACTATTTCATAGGTGCAAAATCTCTGTGATTCTCTTGGCATTTCCCTCATGATTGCAAGACAGCTGCAGCAGCTCCAGCCACTGAGTGTTTAATGGACACAGAGTTTCAATTTGGGAAGATGAAAATGGGGATGGATGGTGGTGATGGTTGAACAACGATGCCAATGGACTTAATATCCCTGAACTGTGTGCACTTACAAATGGTTAATGTAGCAAGTTTTATGTTATGTATGTTTTACAACAATTTATAAAAAATAAATAAATATGGACTCAGTCATTTATTTAACAACTATTTATTGAGGGCCTATTGTGTTTCAGGATCTTTGCTAAGCACCAGGGACACAAAAATAAACATAATAGCCAGAGAGTCCTTACCTTCCTGGGGCTTAGAGTCATGAAGAAAGCCATCAGAGAAAATCACAAGCCATGTGAAATTACAACCAAGATATGTGCTACCAAGGAGAGAGGTGCATGGCGCTGTGGGAGCAGGTGAAAGGGGATTTCATTCCATCAGGAGGGTCATCATTTTAATAGCCATACACCATTCCCTGGCATAGCCAGCTACAACATTATTCAGCCAACCTCCTGTGGCTGGATGTTTAGATTCTTCCCACATTTGAACTATCGTAAACACTACCACAATAAACACCCTTCTATAAAGGTAGCTTGGCACACCTGTCTGATTCATTTCCTTAGGACAAGTTCCTACATGTGGGATTGTGGATTTCAGGGGGAGCCCACCTGCTGAAGCACTAACCACACACTGCCCTGTTGCCCCCTCTAAAACTTGTATCATTTCTATTACCACCAGCAACGTAAACTAGAACCCTGTTCCTCCACATTCTGCCAACACCACCTGTTGTTATCATTACAAAGTGCGGACAATGTTATGAGGTGAAACATGGTTTCTTGTTGTTTCAATTGGCTTTCCTTGGATTATCCCTGAGGTTGACCATAGTTTTGTGTGTCACAGATATGGGTGTTATAAAGTCCTCCATTTATGGATTCCTACAGCTTTGTCCTTGTCAATCCAACTGCCTGAGTCTTTCCCACGTGCTCCAGGGCAGCAGCCTCGGCCCATCCTAATCAGCCCCCACTCCCCACCCCACATCCTCTCCAGCCACCCTCCACACTTGTAACCCTCAGACATGCTGGGTGCCTCGGGGCTTCCAGCCTTTGTCCAAGTGGTTCTCCCTCCCTTTTTTTCCCTAGTGCAGCTCAGTGTACTCACCTCTCTGAGATCTTTCTGACTCCCCAGGTGTGGTCAGCCCCCCACTGTGCTGCCCTCTGCTCAGCACTGACCGCTGGCCTGTCACTGTTCACTTTGCAGTTATCCCATGAGTGCCCCCTCCCCAGACTGGCAGGCATCAGACATATTTCTCTGCCCCAAGTGCATGGCATGGGATGAGGGTAGGGGCACCAAGCAGGTGCTTAGACAGTTTGTAGCCAAAAGGAAAGAAGGAAGGGAGGGAGGGAGGGAGGAAGGGAGGAAGGAAGGAAAATCTATCCCTCTCCACCCCCAGGCTGGCTGATCAGGCATCCAAAGCTTGCTGTTGCCCACCTTCCACCATCCTAGGTCCGTTCTTGTCTGGGTTCAACATGGAGGATGTGCAGGTGGCTTGGGAACTCTCACCATCTGAAGAATCACCTGGGGGTGCCTATTATCTCACCTGGGCACTTCCTGAGCCACTCAGGCCCTCACTTGCCCTCCCCCTGGGCTATCTTTGAACTAGGCACTGCCCTAGCCATGACTCTGGTGTTCTGGACAGAACCCATTGGGTTCGTGGTTAGCAGTGAAGACTCTGGGACACTGGCTCCACTAAGCTTCAGCCCTGCCCTGGCATCTATCCAGTGCCACCCTCACAGGTGGAAAAAACAGGTTGGGAACTGAATTTCTGCCACAGGCCATGAACCAGCCTTCTTACCCCAGTGTGTTCTCTTCCATTCGTGTTTGCACTTATTAACCAGAATGTGCCCTAAAGGTTCCTTTCTTCATGTCACTCCTCTGCTCAAGAACCATCAATGGATCCTACTTGTCCATCAGATCAAATCTGAGCTATACAGCAGGAATTCCAGGAGCCCTATGACCAAGCTCCAGCGTCCCTCTCTGACTTCGTCCACCATCACTCCAGCCAGGCTAGCTAGCCTCCTCCAGGTTCTCAGGGCCATTTCCTCTCCTATGGGGCTTTGCCCATACCATAACCACTGCCTGAGACACACTTGTCCCTTCATTACCTGTTTAGACCCTGGCTTGCAAACCCCGCCTTCCCTGGACGCCCTTCTGACTATCCCTGTCCTTGCAATCAATTTAAAAACAAAAGACTAAGCCTGTGTGTGCTTTAGAATCTCCTAGCTTGCTTATTCAAAAGTCTGACCACCCCAGACCTCTCTAGGGTGGTTCTAAGATGCTGGACTTTTAATGCTTCACGGGGGAGTCTGAGGCTATCAGCTCTGCCAGGTCCATTGGCCTGCATTTGGGAAGTGCTGATGACAGCGCTGGATGCCAACCCCAAGTCTACACTGGCTCCTGAGGTCTGCACACTGGACACATTCCCCTCATATCTGCAAACGATAACTACCATTTACTGAGGATTCCCTAGGTACCAAGCACACACTGAGCACTCGCTATGCATGATCTCAGCTAATCTTTACAACACACTGTTAGGTAGATATTATTTTATTGATAAGGAAATTGAGGACCAGAAAGGTAAGTCTCTTGGCCAAAGTCACAGAATTTTGGGGGTGAAGGAACCCCAAGTTCTCAAACTCAGGTTGATTGTGCTAAAGCCAGTGCTCCTCGCCCGTGCTATGTCGCCTGTGTGCCTGGGCCAGCGAGCCTTCCGAGTGGGCACCTGGTTCAGTTCCATTCGGGTCAATTCCATCCTGTCCACCAGCAGTACTGCCACTTGCTTCTGCTAAGTCCTGGGCATAGACATATGGGTAGGCGTAGAAAGAGGCCCTTGCCATTGAAGGACCTCCCCATCCAGGGGAGGAGATCGGCACATGCCTAGCAAGTCACATGGGAGGCTCTGGGGCCAGAGTGATGCACACCATTTGGGAAGGACGGGGGAGAGGGTGAGTGGAGATGGGTCCTGCCCTGGGAGGGGACAGTAAGGCCAATTCAGGCTCCAGGGAACAGGTAGAATTTGAGCCGCGCCTCAAGGGATGATGAGAAGGGGATAAAGGGCATCGGGCAGAGGGAACAAGCATGAAGGGTCAGGTTTCCAGTGGCTGCTGCATGGGAGGAAGTGGGGGACAAATTGGCTGGAAAGGACAGTTGGGGACAGACCATGAAGGGCCTCCAATGCCAGGCTCAGGAATGTAGCCTTATCCTGTGTGCAATAGGGAGTCATGCAAGGTGTGGGAGCAGAGGCATGTCTGCCCTCAGCACGAGCCCCAGGAACAGGCACAGATTGGTGCTCGATTGGAACCTTGCTGCCTGATTTGTTGGTATGTGTCTTTCTATCCTCACTAGGGTCAGAATCACCTGGGGCTAGTGGATGGTTCCAGGCAGGAATAGAAGGCCCAATAGCTATACCTCTCCTCCTCCATTCAGCCCTTCTCTGGGAGGATGGGCAAATTATTCAACCTCTCTAGCCTCAGTTTTTTCATCTGTAAAATGGGGCAATACACCAGCCTTGCAGGTTTTGAGGATGAAATGAGATCAGGTGAACATAGTGTAGCTGGTGCATCACTGCGTCTTGCTACATGTGTGGACCAGGTGGCAGAGTGGAAAGAACAGAGGACCTACTTTCTGAATCCCAGCTCTGCCCCTGGAACAGCCCTCTCAGGGCTGGTGGGAGGATTAAATTCAGCAAGCTAATGCACGTGGAGCACCCGCTACCCAGCTGATGACCGATAACTTTGATTGCTGCCTGCCTGACCAGGCACAGGAGATCCTGCTCCCCCTCCTGTTCCTGGGACGCTGCTGCTCTCATTCAGCTCTCTGCTCCCTCCTCCTCGTCCCGAAAGAGGTACTTTATTTGGGCCTTAGCTTGCTGCCACTGGCTGTCAGCTGACCTGCCCCCTTGACGCCTGGCACAGGTAGATTTTCTGTACCGTTCACAAAGAGTTTTCACATGCATCTTCTCCCTGGTTAATCCACTCACTTACTATTAATTCATAAGCAGGACACAGCTGATCCCCACTGAGCGGATGAGGAAACTGAGACCTGAAGAGGGAAAGAAGGGGACTGATGCTGTTTGAGCACCTATGACGTGCAAGAGGCATTATACCCATTAGTTCTCCATCATGGCAGCCTGAGATTTAGGTATGACCCTCCCCACTGCATCACTGTGAATGTGGAGACTCAGAGAGGGGCAGTGACTTGTCCAAGGTCACACAGCAAAGGGACTGGCACAGGCTGACTGCAAACCCAGGGTCTGGGATTCACAGCAAACATTTGCAACATGGGGTTGATAGACCTGCCCCGAGGGCTGTTGCAAGGACCAGATGAGGCATTGAGCATGAGGGAGGCTGGCACAGTGCTTATGGACTAGGAGTAGAAGTGTAATCTTGTCCACCTAACTGTATAGAGAACAGAGATAGAGTCCAGGAGGGCTGTGACATGCCCAAGGTCACAGCAAGCAGTCAGCAGAGCCAAAGCTCCCTGCCCCCAGGACCACTCACTCTCTTTCCCAGTTAAGGGCGGGGGCCATCCCTCCATCCCTCCAGGGCCTTTTCCTCCCAGAGAGTGGAAACTTCCAAAGTCCCTCTGACCTGACAGGAGGGTGAAAAGAGCAGGAATGTCTGCCATGGCACACCAACCTGGAGCCTGGGACCGAAAGCTGGAATCCCAGGGTTTGCCGGGGCTGTTGCTCCCTTCAGCACCCCGCCTGCCCGGGGGCCTCCCACCCTCCCGGTTAGTCAGCCAACTAGCCACCCCCGAGGCCTGTGTTCTTAGAGGACACTGAACGTGGCAAGGCCAAGGGAACAGGCACAATGGTGGGATTTCATATGTAATAAGCTCTTGAGGCAGATCACAGAACCCGAGAAGGATGAATATATAATTTATCATTTCAATGAGATACCTTTGAGAGAGAAAGGGAGCACTACTAATAACTAAGCAAGGACAGCGGGCATAAATTAGGGCTGTCCTGAGCCAACCAGGTGTGTGGTCTCCCCATCATGCGGTGAGATGGTGGGGGAGCTAGAACTGCAGCCAAAGCCCGAGTCGTCCCATGGCTCTCCCCTGCCCCGAGCGAGTCCTCGGTGCAGCTTCCTGGGGCAGGGTTGGCATCTCTCTGCAGGTGGGCCTGGCAGCCAGAGGTTCTTGGTTCTCTAATAAGGTCTGGGGAATGCCTACCTGTTGTGATTCAGGGACATTGGGGCCACTTCTGGGATTCCGCACCACACAGCTGTTCCACGTGGTCACACCGCTGTGTTTGGTGTTCACTTTCCAGAGGGTGCCCACGCTGCCCGCCAGGCACGATGCCTCATTTACCCTGTCCAGAGCGTGGGCAGGTGGTTTTACATAAACAAATTTGCAGGTGAATGAAGGTGGCCCCTTTAAACATTGAAAACTTTTTTATTTTAGCCATTCGTGCTAATGCTGTTCCGGATGCAGGTGCCCCTCTCCCCCTGCCTTTGTAAACACAGCTCAGGGACACGCCTCGCCCCAGTCTAATGAGTGGGAACATGTTAAGTACCGCACAGGAGATGAGCCTGGGGACACCTTCCACTACCAAGGCTTTACACTGGAGGGAGACAGAATGACCCAGAAAGAAAAGGAAGTGTGTTCCAGGAGTGCCCTTCTGACCCAGCATGGAGGATATCCCTTCCCCACTGCCGGGTCCCTCAGTCCTGATCCAGAGGCCCAGCCCACGTAAAGGTCTCCTCTGAGTGTGTGGACCTGGTCTGAGGTAGTGCCACTGCCCCTTCCTCTGATGCTGCCATGGTCCCTGGGCTGGGACATGGAGGGGCTTGGCAGAGGTCAGCATACTAACAGCATTACTCTGTGATGCTGCAATGCAGTGGTATCTTCAGGGGCTGCCGTAGCAGGCTGAGCTGCTTGCCCTGCATTCGCTGACCCCAGATGACTGTGGGGTTGACACCCTGCTGCCTCTGGTGGGCCACTTTTTTACTTCTCTTCCACTCTTGATCTGCACTCTGTCCCTAACTTACAAGAAACCAAGCCCACTAGACTGTGGGTCCTTTGAGGGCGAGAACTGTTAGTTCATGTCTCTTTCCCCTGAAGATCCTGGCTTAATGCCTGGCACATAGTAGATGCTCAGTAAATGGCATCTCAGTCAAATCGAGTTAAGCCAGGAAGGTTCATTTCACCCACAATCCTAGCCCAATGCAGATGTATTCTGAAGGGAAGGAGGTTACTCTGAAGGCTCTTTGCCTGGCTTTGTGACGCCTCTGTAGGCTATTTGGAGGTTTGAATGCCTGAGAGTGAAGGGGCTGGGAGTCTAAGTGTTAGGGAAGTAGGAAAGGAGGACATTATTTGCAAAAGTTTCCTGAGTTCTGGTCAGTTCCTTATACCCTCAATGACCACTGACTCTGGGCACAGGAGATATACCAAGGGGAGTAAAGCAAGGATGCTAGCCTTGAGCAGACAGTCAAACTCCAGTGATAAGTGTAAAAAGGCACAAAGGTGGCACCAAGGAGCCAGGACTAACTTATTCTAGGAGGCGGTGACATCAGAAAAGGCTTTCAGAGAAGGGACAGCTATGCCAAAGGGCTTCCTGGAAGAGGGGCAGATAGTGTGGGAAGGGCATGGGGCAGCAGGGTGTGCGTGTGGGGCAGGGCATGGCCTTGGAATTGAGAAGCAGAGGGTGTGGCGTGGGGCTGACCAGGGTGGAAGTTGGGAGGTCAGCAGAGGTCAGTCATGGAAGGTTTTAGATCCTGGAGCAATGTGGGCAGGGGTGATGTGGTTCGTTCTGGATGAAGACAGATCACACCAGCTACCAGGTGGATCACAAGACTCAACAGGAACAGGAACACAGAGGCCTTCACAGAGCATCAGGGACCCAGGCACAGCACTGAGGAAGGCTCCTGGTCAGAGACCAGCTTCGGGGGAAGGCAAACAAGGCTCTTGAGGGCCCCAGCTGTCGCAAATCTTCACAACACATCACATTTTACCTTCAAAGCTTTACCCCCCAAAACATAACAACTGGACGGGTGATGGTCCATTGAAAGTAATCACCTCCTCCCTATGTGTTTCTTGACAGTTCTCCAAGTGCTCTAGAATCCACCATCTCATTCGCACCTCCGTATAGCCCCATTTCGCAGATAGGGAAATTGAGGCCCTGTGAGGTGACACAGGGCTAACAGCCCTGCCCAGCTAGACCCAGGGGCAGTTCCATCTCAGCCCTGGGTATCGGGCTCAAAGCCCTGTTCTTTGTCTGGGAGGGGGTCCCCGGGGCTGTCCGGCAGCCCATAGTACAAGTCTTCCTCCTCCTGCTCTGGCTCCTCCATGCCTGTGTCCGAAGCCGCCTCCTCCTCCTTTGTCCTTGGGGAACGCTGCCAGTAGCCGGGTGGGGCTGTGTCCGGCCACTGCCCCTCTGGAGGAGCATCCTCTGATGTGGGGGCGTCGATCAGAGCAAAATCATGGAAGCGGTCCAGCCTGTACCTGCAGGCCCAGGGCTCCTGTGGCTGGGCTCCAGGCTCCTCCCCCTCAGGTGGAGATGGGCTGGCGCTGCCACTCTCGCTGGAACCCAAGTCCAGATCATCTTGGAAAGAAGCCAAAGGTGCAGCAGGGCCCTGAGGACAGGCTTGGGGGCTGTAGGGGCAAAGCCAGAGAGGGCGAGGGTAGCTCTGAGTCAGACGGCCTGGGTCCAAACTTCAGCAACTAGCTGCAAGGCCTGGGGAGGGGAGCTCACCTGTCTGAGCCTCAGTTTCCTCCCCTGTGAGGTGGGAGAAATAACAGTATTCACTCCTCTGGTGTCTCTGAGCTTTACAGCAGATCATGTGTGCAAAGCACTTTGCGCAATACCTGACACATAGTAGGTGCTGAAGAAATGGGCGATTATCATGTTATTATCCAAACCAGGTCACTCCTCCACTTCTCCAATCACTCAGGGATCTCCTCTGGGCCCTCAGGCCCCACCATACTAGGTCCCAATGTCTGTCCTTTCGTCTGCCTCCCCCATTGGACTGGGAGCTCTTGCAGGGTGGGGTCCTCAAGGCCTGGCAGGGAGTAGGTGCCCAGTAATGGTGGTAGGATGAGTGAATCAATAGATGAATAAGGAACCCAATTCATAAACAGCCAAGGATGGAGTGGGGTGAGGAGTGGCCTGCTCAAGACCACAGAGCACAGCAGCAGCAGGCTGGATTTGAACTCAGGTCCCCTGGCTCACTGTCCCTTGCTACCCATGACAAGCACTCAAAGAGCACAGAGGTCTACGGTGTGCCCAACACTTAAATGCACTAGCCCAACCCTCTGAGGTAGGAGTGATTATTCCCATGTGGGGAAACTGAGGCTCAGGAGGATAAGAAACTTGCCAAGGTTATACAGCAGAGCTGCTAGGATTTGAACCGAGGCCTGTCTGACTAAGCCCAGACTCATGAGCCGGCTACAACTGCTGCCTCTCAAGGTGTCCCCACCCCCACTCCCCTCTCTACTTCCAAATGAACCCAACCACCACTCAGTGGCCCACACCCCTCCTCCTTCATCCCGGAAGTGGGTGCATCCCCACTCTTGTGCTCTGCAAACTCACCCAAGCCTGCTCTGAGTTGGGTTTCTTTCTCCCTCGTCCTCATCTGAGCCCCTGTGGACGACCACGGCAGCCTCCATCCAGGCCTGAGCATCAGGATGGCCACCTTCTCCTTTTTCACTGGCTTCCAGCCGCTGCTGTCCCAGCTGAGGGGCCAGCAAGGGGCGGGGGTCCTCACTGTAGCCCATGACCTTCATCTGGATGTGGCTGAAGTCAGGCAGGCTCTGGTCATAGGCGGCTTCCTCCCACAGCCTGACATAGGGAGGCTGGGGGCTAGGTGGGTGAACGGCAGACAGCGGGACAGAGAGCAGGCAGGTGAGCAAAGATTCATTCAACAGACATCAGTGCCGTCCCCTGGCCCATCTGCTCTGGCCACCTGGTCCCCTCTGACCTCAAAGAAGCCTTTGGGGGTCAAAACTGTACCTAGTTCATGGATGAGGAGTCCGACGCCAGCAAGGTAAGGTAGGTGGCAGAGCTCAGACTCTCAGCTCAGTGTTCCTGTCACTCCATGTCCCCATAGTTAACCCCAAAAGTGCAACTGCAAAATGAAGACCAGTTGCACTGACTGAGAATTTGCTGGGTTCCAGATGGTGGGCTAAAGGCTTCATGCTTCTTATCCCATTTATTCTGAACAACAGCAGAATGATGGTTCCCACTTTTCAGATGAGAACTTCAGCAGTAATTGCACAGCTACTGCGTGCTCCTTGCCTGCCAGGCTCTGTCACCTAACCCTCACCGTAACTCTGGGACATACTGGAGGAAACTGAGGCACAGAGACTTTAGCTGACCTACCCAGGTGACTCAGACACTGAGTGGTGCGACTGGGGCCCCAGGCACCATGTTTTCTACTGCTGTCTGCAGACCCTCTCTTGAAAGTGAAGTTCCCTTGCTTAGGGCTGGGGACTAACCAGAAGGAGCCCAGACTCAGGGTTACCTGAGCCTCAGCTCTGTCACAACAGCTCTCCCTGTGTGACCAATCCTGAGGCTGGCCCCCATGCCCACCCAGGTTCTATTGTCTCATTCCTCTGAGACGTTTGATCACTCTCTGTGTCAGGAACAGAAAATACCATCACCACCTCCTCCAAGCACAGAAAGAGTTCCAGGGCCCCAGCCACACACCCGGGACCTGCAGCCTGCCCTTCTGAGCATGAAGTCACAGCGTCCAGGGGCGGGAGGGGGAGTGCTGGAGTGCTCTCCGCCAGGGCCTGCAAGCCATGGCGTGGCACCTCCAGGGACGAAGGCAGGCCTGGTCTGCTCTGTCACTGACTCCCCGTGAGTTTTGGGGGCTTGTGATTATACTTTTTAAGCCTCAGTTTCCACATCTATAAAAAGGCTTGGACACACCCCTTCGCAGGGTTTCTGTAAGGACTGAAGGAGGTCATGACTACAAAATGCCTGATTTGGTCTCTGCTACATAGGAAACGCTTCTTACTAATGATGACAAACACTTAGAGAGGGCCTACTGTGTGCCAGGTTCTGGTCTTAGCACTTGACTTATATTAGCTCACTGAACCCTCCCTGAAGTCCCAGGAGGAAGGTACCATTAGTATCCCCATTTTATAGAAGGGACAAAGAGAGGCATGTTGTTTTCCCAAAGGCACACAGCCAGTAAGTGGCAGAGCCCAGGAGGACGGGGCCTTAACCTTCATTATGCCTCTTGTTTGCTATAGTAGCAGCTTTTTAGGATTTAGGGTCAAGCCTGGTTTTAATTTTTGGTTTGCTACTAGTTCACTGTAAGACGGTGAACAGCAAGACAGTGAACTAGTCCCCAAGCCTCAGTTTCCTCACCTGTAAACTGGGAATAAGAACGCCTGCCTCATGGAATTGAGGGTTCAAAACAATCCATGATTTCGAATAGTATAGTCTCAGTAAGTGGAACGGCCAAACCAGAGCCTGGAGCAAAAGGAGGAGACACCGTCCACCCCTCCCACCCCTGGAAGGGGTGGCTAGCTCAGTGCCCTCCCCTCTACCGCCTCCCAGTGCCAGAGGGCCCGGCACCTACCTCTTCATCTCAGCAGTGAGCCCGTTCTCCAGCAAGCCCAGAGGCTTCGAGGACAGGATGCCTTGGAAGTCAGAATCAGCGGGTACAAAGGCGATCTGCATGGCAAAGGGGAGCCGGCTGGTCTGTGGCTGCGCACACATGCCCTTGACCGCTGCTCCCCTCAGACCACGGGCCTAACCCCTCCACATGCTCTGGGAGAGGCCTGGCTAGGGGGGGGCCTCGCCTTGTGACAGGAGAGGGTCCTGCTCAGGGCCCAGCACCCGTGAGTGGATGGGTCCCTGGGCTCCTGCTCCCACCTGGCTCTCTATTCACCCAACAAACATTTATTGAGCACCTGCTGTGTGCCAAGCACACAGGCCCTAGGAGGCAGCAGGCAGCGAGACAGACATCCCTGCCCTGGAGGAGCTTACATCTCGTCATTGCTTAGGGTCCTCGTCCAGTGCCCAGAATGTGCCTGGCACAGGGAAGGCACTCCATTCGTATCTGGTGAATGAGTGGAAAGCAGGTCATTGTCATGTGTTTCTTGGCACAGAGGCTGTGGTGGGGGATAGAGAAGAGTACGGCTGGGGTTGCGCCCACCAGGACCTGCGCCTGAACTTTCAGGGATCAAGAGGTCTCTGCAAGTACAGCCCCATGGGGAGGGCACGGGGTGGCGGAGGGGAGGCGGGTCATAAGGAGGCAGTGGGATGAGGCAGAAGGAGCCCTGCCTTTGGGGTGTGGTCATCTCCCCTCCCAGAGCCCCTCTGTGGTCCTCTGTACAATGGAGTTAGCCTGGAAGAGATATTTGCAGCGTTCTTCACAGTAGACAAGCGGTGGAGGCGACCCAACTGTCCACACACGGATGTGTGGATTAACAAAATGTGGTTTATACACGCAATGGAACGTTATTCAGCCTTAAAACGGAATGGAGTTCTGACACATGCTACACATGGATAGAACCTCAAGAAATAAGCCACTCACAAAAAGACAAATTCTGTACGATTCCACTTATCTGAAGTATCTAGAATAGTCAAATTCATCAAGACAGGAAATAGAATGGTGGCTGCCACAGGCTGGAAGGAGGGGCATTGAGGACTTATTGTTTAATGGGCACAGAGTTTCGGTTTTACAAGATGAAACGAGTTCTGGAGATCTGTTGCGCAACAATGTGAATGTAATTAACACTACTGAACTCTGTACGCTTAAAAATGGTTAAAAAAAAATGGTTAAGACAGGTCCCGGCCCAGTGGCACCTTAGTTAAGAGTTGGCTTGGGACGCCAGCTCTGAGCAGCAGGGCCCTGGTTCGGATCCCACATGAGGGCCAGTGATGCTGCGCCCTCTACAGCTAAGATGGTGAACAACAGCTCGACCTGGAGCTGGGCTGCCGTGAGTCACCTGTGATGGCATAGGCTGCAGTGGGGCTGGCCAACAGCTGGCGTAAGCTTTCGTGAGCGGCCGAGCTGCCGAGCCGCTGTGAGCAGCCATCCGGTGGCCGGCAAGCAACTGCTTCACCTGGGAAGAGCGCAATGATAATACCAACATGGACCAGTGAAGTGATGTCCTCCACAATTAGACTGAAGAACAAAAGAACAGCAACTTGTCTGTTCCCCTTCCCTGATTCCCCAACACTGTTCCCCTCCCCCAATTCCCCAATAAAATCTTTTTTAAAAAATGGTTAAGATGGTGAATTTTATGTTATGTGTATTTTACCACAAGTTAAAAAAAAATCAGACTAGTGATGCCTGACTCCTGGGGTTGCTGGGAGGATTCCATGAGATAATATATAAGGAATTCCCCAGCACAGTCCTGACACATAGTAGCTGCTCAGTAAATCAAGTTTGATGCCACTGAAGATGAGACTACCTTCTGTGAGTCTTGGTCTCCTCAACTAAAGTTTGTTCAACAAATATTTGATGAGACCCTCCTGCATCATAAGTTCATAAAGAGCAGCCGCCTCTTCCCTTCCCAGAGAGTGCAGTGAGTAAAAGACACTTGTCTGCACTGGAAAAGCTTCGTCCTGCTGGGAAGAAGGGAATGGTGAATACAGGGATTCTTAGAACTCCTGGGAGGGATAAGCTTCCCAAATGTCTGGGATGTCTGAAAATAATGCAGAGACCTGGGTATCTTCCACACCCACTAAGGATGCCCTGCACGTCCCAGCTGGCTCTGTACTTGCTAGAATCTGCCCCTTCTTCCTGTGCTTTATTACCTCATGGACAAGTAGCCATCCTCATCCTCATCCTCATCACCATCATCACTATTACCACCATCATCATCACCTCCATCAACCTCATCATCATACATCACTATCATCATCATCACTAATCATCATCGTCACCATTGCCACTGTGAAAAGCCTAGAGGAGAAGGAAAGGCAGAAGTATCTCAGAACACACGTCCTTTTAAGAGAAGAGGACAGGCAGAGTTGAAGCTGGAACGGGACAATCAGACCATGAAGACCCCAGAACATCAGACTAAGTTCAGCTTTTATCCGGAAACAATGAGAGCCCTGGAGGAGTTCTCAGCAGGAAGGTACACAGGCCAATTTGTGTGTAGACAAATCCCCGCAGAGGTGGGCGGGAACGAGGAAGGCCCTTGAGAGGACAGGTCCATCCACCACCAGTCAGGGGCCTGATCCTGGACTCCAGCTGAGCAGGCAGGGGAAATGGGGGACCTGTGGCCAAAGGTGGAAGCTGAACAGGCAGAGACCTTGCTTTCCCTGCCAACCCTTCCCTTTCTCCCGGCTGCCCTGCCCCACCTCAGCTAAGGGGCAGTGCCCCTGACTGCCCCTCCTATTGACTTGCTGCAACTCCTCCTCCTCTCTCAAGCCTAAGACCCAGCTGACCACCAAATCTGACCAGACTCTACTTCAGAAATTCAGTGAGATAAGCTCAATGGAAGTGCCAGTGCCATGCCCAGCCACAGCGGGTACTGTATATTTGATGAGCTGGAAATGTCTTCCCTGTGCCGACCGTCTTGGGTTCAAACTCCGCCTTAGTCTGGAAGGCCATCATCTCTCACCTGGACCAGAGAAGGAGGAGCCTCCCCCACTGGGCTGGCTGCCCCTGAACCTTCTTTGTCCCGATGTCAGCCTGATAACTTTCTTGAACTGCAAAGCTGACCGTGGTCCCTATCTGGTCCCATCAACTAAAGGGTAAGGTCCAAATTCCTTAGCATGGCATCTCGGGCCCGAGGAGTTGAGCCCCACCCCCTCTCCATCGTACCTTCCTCTCCCAGCACCGCAGCAGCCATGCTGCCCCACCTGCCTTGCTCTTTCACCTCGTGTCTCTGATCACGCTGTTCCTGGAAGGCCTTTCCCATCTTCTCTGCCCCCGTGAACTTGTAATTGGCCCACAAAGCGCAGCCCATCTTCTCTGTGAAGCCTGTTCCCTCCCCATCAGGCAGAAAATTGTCTTCCCTGCAAGACCCCCAGCCCCTCAAAGACAGGGACAGTTTAATTCATGTTGGTGTTGGCTACCCTTTACCCCCATATCTTAATTGGTTGGTTCCAGTCCCTTATATTTATATTTCTTTCCACCCAGGAAATTCCCATTTGTCAGGCACTGAGAGTCAGGGCAGGGTCCGGAGGAGGGAGATGGGCACCAGCACTTGCAGGCAGCTGATGGCACCAAGGGAGCGATGTGGAGACAGGCCCTGCCCCTAAGCAGCACACTGCCCTCCCTTCCCGTAGTGTGCTGGCTCTAACACCCACACACACCCACACCTGCACTCACACCTGCACATACACACAGCGACCACCCAATGACACAAACATCCATCTTGAGAACAATGCCTTCAAACCAGCTCTGTGCCAGGCGTGATGCTGGGTCCCCCACAGACAAGCCCTCACTGGTTCCTCCCACTTGGCTAGAGAGGCAGGGGACTCCCTCTGCCAAGGTCACAGAAGTGGGGCAGGAAGGAGGAGGGATTTGAATCTGGGCTTGCTGCAAACCAAAATGTATTTCTACCCACCATGCTGCCTCCACACACAGGAACACGTGAATCTATCAACAGTTACTCATTAATACGCAGCAATATTCCCTCTCCCCGCTCTCTCTCTCTGCCTCATCCCCCACTGCCACCCGGTCACTCTGCCCACCACCCCAGAGCCACCTCTAGTAAAGGGGGACAAGGCAGGAAGGACACTACTCTGTGCCCAGCACTGTTCCATTGCTGTCCCCCAGGATCCAGCCTCATCTCTGGGATGAGGATGACGATGGAGGTGGTGACGTGGGTAGCTTGGGCCCCAAGGACCTCTTCTCCCCATGACCTCTGCTCAGGGCATTTCACAGAGAGGAAAGTTGACTGTAAACTGCTGGGTAAATGACTGTAAACCAGCCAGGACCGCCCCAGCACCAAATATTCTGACAGCCTGAGGCTGACCCACGGAGGGGGCAGGGCTGGGGAGAGCAGGCCCAGGTCCCTGGGAGCCTCCTCCCAACTCCACTAAGCCCCTCCCCCGCCACAGCCACCTAGGTGATGGGGGTTGCCTGAGGCCTAGAGTCCTAGATGTCAGGACCAGCAGGGCCCTTAGATGCACCCCTTTTCCCACCCCCTTTTCCTGACACACACACAAATGAGGAAACAGGCTCAGAGAGAGAAGGCCTTGACCAAAGTCTCCCAAGCAGTTAGAGGCAGAGCCCAAGTTTGAATCCATGCTTCTGTTTTTGTTTCCCTGGGTCTGACCAGCTGTGTGACCTTAGAAAAGACACACAACCTCTCTGGGCATTAAAGGCTTACAACTCCTGACATGCCCATTCTACCAGGTTGTTGGGAGGATCAATAACAGTAATGATGACAGCATTTCACCTAAATAGAATACTCTACAGTTTATAAAACATTCCTACATCCCACCTCTTCTCTGTTCATAATAACTGTGAGCTGGGAGAAACAGGGGATTGGGGTCCCATTTTGCAGATGTAAGAAACTGAGGCTCAGAGAGATAACCGTCACACAGAGAGTTTGGACAGAGCTGCAACTAGAACTCAGGGCTCCCAAACCAGTGCTCTTCCCATCACTAAGTTACTCACAAGGCTAGGAGTACACTGAAACTCCAAAAGATAGAGTGCTGACCAACCCATGCCATCAAGGTTACACACCTGACCCACTCAGAACTCTCAGCAGCTCTGAGACACAGGGTTAGCCCTCCGAGGTGGAAGGTTGTGCCTTAAGTCACACATATTTGAGCTCCAAGCCCAACTCTGACACTTAGGAGCCATGCGATCTCGCCTTTCTGAGCCTTGGGCTTCTCCACTATAAAATGGAACTACAGAGGTACCAAAAGCTCCAAATGAGGACTGAGCTGCACCATGAATGCAGGAATGCCTGACAGGGGCAAGCACTTACTAACTTTGGTTTCAAGCACACGGATGATGTGTGTTGGGTTTTACTGTGTCTCCCCTGTGGTGCCTAGTTCAGGGATGCAGGGGGCTTCTGATCAGTCCTCATGATAAGGGAGGGAGTAAGGGTGGGATGGATGGATGGGCGGATGGCTAGATGGATGGATGGACGATCAGGAAAGTGTAGAGAAGAAAAGAGGGGTGAAAGGGGGAAGGATGAAAATACAATGGAAGGATGGGGCACAGTATATGCCTGGACTAGAGGCACAGCCCAGCCTTCCTGGCCCCTGGCCACTGACCCCCAGCCAACCTGCCCCCCCACATCCCACCGCCTACCTTAGGGTAGCACTGGCACATGCTCCAGATGACACCCCCGATCACCATGACGCTGCCCATGGCATAGAAGGTGCCATAGACCTGGGGCCGGTCGTGGCTCATGAGGAACGTGCCGAGGGCCAGCAGGAAGAGCCCCAGCACAATGAAGCCTATGCGGAAGGTCTTCTCGTCTGTCATGGCTGCCCCGCCAGGCTGCCGTCTGTTCCGTGCACCACCGTGGAGGGGCCCCCGTGAACCAGTGTGGACACCCACACACCTCACACTGGGAGTGATGACACTCCGGAATCGCTGCCAATCGGGGCTTAAAGTTTAAAGGAGGGTAGGCTCCACGGTTGCAGGGTGCACAGGTTCAGCAGGCTGCAGGAGCTACGCTTGGATGGCCCCTGCCCCCACCACCTACCTTCATTCCCTCTCACCTTCCCTCTGGGCCCAGCCGGAGTGTGTGTGTGACTCTGAGTGAGGGACGAGTGAGGAGGGAGAGGGGGAGGTTACAGGGGCTGGGCCCCAGCCAAGGCTTTGACATCACCTCATTTGCCTGTGTGGGGCTGAGCTAGGTGGACGGGCGGACCCACACCATCCAGCCATGGGAAGCCAGGTACAGTGCCACAGCCAAAACACATCAGAATGCCACTGGAAGATTCCAGGTTCCCACAGGCTGACATTTTAGAATCCTGAAGCATTCTATTCTCTTCAAGGTCATGTGCCCATCCAGGGTTCAGGAATAATAACCCGTATTTATTGGACAGGGGCTGCAAGCACGACACTGCTTTAAAGACGTTACAGGTATTACTCATTTAAGGGGTACCCCGTGAGACAGGCACTACTATCCCACTTTACAAATGAGCACACGGAGGAACAGACAAGTCGTTTTCCCAAGGTCACAGAGCTAGAAATGGCACAGCAGCTGGGATTTGAATCCAGGGGCCATGCCCCTAGCCACTATGTTATACTCCCTAGCTATAACAGGATGGTTAAAAGTGTGGGCTCTAGGGCCAAGGCAGACTTCCTGGGCTTGAGTTTTGGTTCCTATCTACCATGGGCATTGTGGCCTTGATCAAGTTACCTCCCTGTGCCTCAGTTTTCCCCCTCTGTAAAATGGGCATAATAATAACACTTCCCAGGAGGGAGCTCTCTTCAGGCCTAACCGCCTCTGTCCCCTTCTCATATTCTGTGACTTGCCACCGGGAAAAGCTCTAGTGTCTTAATGCCCCTGTAGGGTGTGGATGACTGACAGCAATTTCTATGCCTCTTAAGCTAGGAAGATGCCTTAATCCTAAGAATGACATTGTAATGGTAGAATTCCAGTTCTGGGGATAGGCTGACGGGAAAAGTCCGTTCTTTTACAGGATTATAGGAAAATGAGAGCCATCAATGTCTAAAAGAAAACATTAACTTGTCATTTGTACAGAGTTAGGTTGCTGATGTGGGATAATGGCTCCCTTTTGGCATCCTGATTTGGGTCGGAATTTTCCTATTTGTTGTCATCACCATCTCCCTCCTCTCCCACAAGAGCTGTGCTTCCGGAATACCACACCTACGTTCACACCATACCCTCTGCCTGCTGTTCTTGCCCACACACTTTTTCCAGCAGTGGTTTCTCCTTCACCAACCCTCAGATCCAGCTGGACTACACGCTACAGTTTGCATAGGAGGTCCCCTGTCACAGAGCTCAGGAGAGCCTCCCAGGGAGAGGTTGCTGAGGCGTCTGAGAAGGGCTGAGTCACTGGCTCATGTCCAGGTCTGATTCCCCAGGTAAACTTGGACTGGTGGCTCCGATCTGGGCTTGAATTTTGTCACCTGTGCTTATCTATAGAGCAGGACCCACTACCCGGGAAGTACTATTGGGTTGTCGGATGTCTTTTTCTATGTTTTTTGTTGCAAAACTGCGTCATGACTTTTCAGACAACCCAATATTATCATCTCATAGAGGCTCAGAGAAGGGAACGAATGAGTGCCCCACCCCCCCGAAAAGGAAACGGATGCCCAGTGGGCCCTTAGCCTGCGCTCTCTGGTCCTGGCGATGGGAATGGATGGCTGCGGTCGCTGTCTAGCAGGAGCCTCTCGCGCCCCCTTGTGGCGGTCGTAGCAGGCGCTCGCAAAGGTGCTTTTACACCCTTTCGGTCATGCCCCTGTCCTTCGGCTCCGAGAGGAGCATAGGGGAGGGGTTATCATACCCATTTCACACGCGAGGAAACTCAGCCCGGGGAGTGGAAGGGGCTGGCCAAGATTTCCCCAAACTGTGGCGGCGGCTGAGCGATGACCCAGACCTACACAGCCCCAGCCCCAGTGTAGATGGATCTACCTGATACTTAACCCTTCCAGAGAGGCCTCCCGGTCATCCAAGCACTCTCCTCCTCTCCCCACCTTTTCTTTCCTCTCAATGACCCAGCCTCCTTTCTCCCTTTTTTGTCCTCTTAAAAAAAAATTAAAAATGTGAGTGATGAGTAAGAAGCTCTGAGTAGGTGCTCAGTAAAATGGGTCTAACCTAACCTCTTCCACAGAGCCACGGTGAGAGGAAGCAGAAAAGGAATAGGTGTGTACGGTGTATTTGGAAGTGTTGGGTTATCCGTTGTTCCCGCTCCCCTCCCACCTGCCTCTGACTTTCACCTCCCTTCCCTGCAAAGTGCGGGAGAGTTGGAGGAGTGGTTGAGGGGTCTGTCATCCTCCAGCAGAGGGCGTACGAACCACTGTTTTCTTCTTCAAGGAATTGAGGATCCTCGCAAGATCCTCAGAGGCAGGGAGGGGGAAAATCATACCCCTTTGCTGGGGTGGAGATGAAGGGTGGCATGGGAATTTTCGGTTGGGAAATTTCAGATTGATTTGAGGTAGAGAGCGGCAGGGGGCTGGGTCACTAGGCAACCCAGAGGGTAACAGAAGTTTGGGAGGGCACAGGGAAAATGTGGGAGAGGTATGAGCTCGGAGGGTCCCTGATATCCCGGGCCTGGTGGCAGATACCAGATGTGGGCTCTGAGTGGTGGGTGAAGAAACTGGACAGCCGAGCCCAGGAGGAAACAGACCAGAAAGCAAACCATTGCCTACTGGGGGCTATGGAGTGGCAGATCCGGCCTCATGTGGCTCATCTACCCTGTGCCCTGCTAGTGGGCACAAGGGTCTCCGGTTCACAGTGATGCCACTGCGGCTCAGAAGGGTTAGGTGGCTTGCCTCGACTGGAGACTGGCTCCAGGGCCCTGGTTCAGTTTCCAAGACGCTGGTGACCTTGAACAAAGTCACTGCCTCTCCTTGGGGCTTTCACAGATGAGTTGATATAGAGAGAAAGCAGAAAAGGTTTTTTTTGTCTTCCAGCCCTCCCCACCCTCTCCAACTTCCAGCTCCTGCCAGGCAAAGGTGGTGCCTCCAAGTCACACCTGCAACTCATTAACTCACCTGCCTGTGGGAGATTTCCTGGCTTTGGGGTAGGAGGAGAGCGGGGCTCTGCTTTCCAGCCTGGGACCCCATTAACCCTTTAGGAATTGCAGAGGGCCTGATAAAACCCCACCCCTATCCTCATGATACATACAGGAAACTGGTGTGTGTGTGTGTGTGTGTGTGTGTGTGTCCAGCTCAAGGTCACTCAGCAAGGTCAGAAACAAGGCAGAATTCAAACCTACATCTTCATCATACCTGGGAAGCACAAGGCACAGACAGGAGAAGAGAGGGAAGGAAGGAGGTACAGATGGAGATCCAGGATTTGGTGATGAGGGAGGGGGAGGATTACAGGACCCACAAGATCTGGCTTGGGCGACTGAGAGGGCCCAATAATGATAGTAAGAGCTGACATTGATTCATTTGTTCGGTCAACAAATATCTACTGAGCATTTTCCTCATGCCCTGCACCATTTCTAGGCTTTAGGGATACAAATGAAAAGGAAAGAAACAAAAAAAATTCCTATTCTCAGAGAGCTTATATTTGTGGTGAGGAGAAATACACAACAACTAAGCAAACAAAAAACAAATTTAAAAAGATAAAACGTTAAATGACAGGCAGGGGTTATAAACAAATGGGGCAGGAAGAAGGCTGGAAGTGCAAGGCGCTGGGAGGGACTCAGTTGTAAACAGTGTGGTCAAGGATGGCCTCATGGAGGGAGGGACCGAACAACGGTGCAGGCAGGTGAGGCGTGAGCCCTGGGGAGGAGCTTCCGGGTGGAGAGAGGGAAAGTGCCAAGGCCCACAGCACACTGCCTGCAGCTGAGAGCAAGAGGGAGCGAGTGGAAGCGGGGAGGTCAGGCCCAGGCACCCCGGCCCCCACCCACACTACTGTGAGGCTTTCATTATGCAAAGTGAGCTGGGAACCACTAAGGGTTCTGAACCCAGGAGAGACGCCATCCACCTGGGTATGATCAGGCCATTCTGAGCTGAGGAGACTTCAGGGGATGCTGGTAGAAACACGGAGACCTGAGGCCATCCAGGCCTAAGTGGGAGGATCCCAGCTGGGAGCCCAACCAGGCCTGAATGAAAACACCTGCTCTGCCTTTATGCTCTGTGATTTTACCTTTCTGAGGCTCAGTTTCTACACCTGCTAAATAGGGACACCACCTGCAGCACAGCAGCCTTGAGAATGTGAAACAATGGCAGAGGGCCTGACCCAGCATACAGTGGGCCCTTGGGAAATGCCACCCTTATCCAGATGACTGAGCCCCAGAACTTTGAACCCCTGCCTGCTGTGTGACTCTGGGAAGGTTACTTCATCTCTCTGAACTGGTTTTATCATCTGTGAATGCGATAGTGTGATGTAGGGATGCAGGATACAGCTGGACAGGAAGCGGACATTTCTGCCATATCTGGAAAGTAAGGAAAGGTGGCGAGCTCCCTATCACAGGAAATATGGAAGCAGTGACTAAAGTTGCACTTGGTGGAGAGGGGTTATCTCTATTAACAAAATCTGACAATCACTGCATACTAACTAGATTTCCACCACTGGGCTGAGAAATCTGCATTTATTATTTGATGCATTAGCACTGCGCCTGCATGGTCAATGTGAGGCTTACAATGCCTGCTGCTATCACCTCATTTAATCCTCATAGCTCAGCTCTCTGAGGTAGGAGGTGGTACCACTGTAATTCCCAATTCCCATTTTATAGAAGAGGAAACTGCGGCACAGAGAGGTAAAGTCACTTGTCCAAGATCACTCAGCTGGAACCCAGGCACAGGTAGTCTGAATTGAGAGTCCATGTTCTTTTGATTATAAACTCAGTATGTGATGTTGGCCAGTCCTGGCTCTGCCTCTGGGCCCCAATTTTCCCATCTGCACAATAAAATCTCCCAGCTGACAGCCAGCACTAACTGCCAGCCATTATCTCGATAATATGAGCGCATTATCTCGGCCCAGCTGGGCCCCTGATGACTGCAGCCCCACCAACATCATGTGGGGCAGAAGAACCACCCAGCTGGGCCCAGGCAACCCATAGAATCACGAGAGATAATAAAATGGATTTATTTTAAGCCATTTGTTACACAGCAATAGATAAATAAAACAGCATTCAGCAACAAACATTAGTTGAGTGCCTACTTTGTACCAGGTACTGTATTAGACACTAGAATAAGCTCATGATTTGTCTCTAGGAGCCTTTAACTTCCTCTCACCATGGTCTGAAATGGCCAGACAGGAGCAGGCAGCGCCAGGTGTTATCTCTCCAGGGATGGCATCAACAGCAAGGATGATGCTCTCGTAGCTAGGTGGAGGCAGGGCGGGCTGGGTCCCAAGCAGGGCATCCCTGGAGGCACTGCATGTCAGGCCTTCCTCCACAGGGTACGCAGGTGGTTCCAGGGGCCCCTCAACTAATGGGCAGTGCACGGCCTCCTCATAAGAGGGGATGTCAACCAGCTTTGGGATCCTACAGAGACAGAAGAAGAGAGGCCGTTAGCAGGGGCAAAGGCGCTCTTTGCAGGTTCCCCAGGATCCCATATACATACTTGGAGCTTGGCATGAGAGGCCCTGCCAACCTCAGCTCTCCCACTCCACCCTCCCTGCCTGCACATGCTCAGTACACCTCTTCATTTCTCTCAGCAGGGAAAGTCCTTCCCACTTCCCTCACCCCTTCTCTGCTGGTCAGTCCCCACTTGTCCTTTGAGAGTCCTCTCAGAAACTTTGACTGGTCCCTCCCTCAACAAAGCTCCCATTCCCTGCTCTGGGCTCCCACATTTCTCTCTTCCGTCACCACATTGACGCCCCCTGGTTGTCCTGTAGGCCAGGGGACAGATGCTTGGGGGTGTTTGTTGCCAGCTTACTGTACCATCCCTTACAAGAGCCGGAGTTGTGGATGCTCAGAGCAGGATGGGAGACCTCAGTTCTGCCCATCTGGATGCTTGAGGCCCTAATATGGTTAAGTCCAACAAGTGAGTAACTCTGCCTGTAGGCCTCCAGGGTCAACCACATCTATCTCTGAACAGCTTGGCTTTCCTGTGACTCACCCCCACCTCCCTTAAATGAAGCACCCTGCAGGGACTTGAGGCAGAGACCAGGTCCTCCGAGGCTCCCCTAACCAAGCCCTGCAGCTAGATTCCGAGAAGAGGGGCCACGCATCTCCCCCACGCCAGTGAGAATACTAATACTGACTCTCAGTCCTCTCAGGGCCCCAGTGGGTCACCTCTAGGGAGTCCCTTTCCCTTCCCCTCTTAGGACCCTGTGGGGTGAGACTGTCACTGATCCCAGGCCCGGGCTGCTTCTGTGTCAGGGATGATACTGTCAGATACTCTAGGTGATCTTGAAAGTTCCCTTACACCCTGAGTTGCTTGGGGGCTGGCTATGAGTCTGAGCACTGGCTGGTTCAACTCCCTCCTCTGCCACATTTCTGGTGGGAGATCAGGGTCAGTAACTCCATTAATCTGGGCCTCAGTTTCCCCTGTAAATGGGAACAGTAACGGCCCCCACCTCACAGGGCTGTGTACAGATTGAATGAGATAATGCATGGGGGCATACAGCACATGCTCCATAAACAGGAGCCACTCACAAAGTCTCAAAGGTCTCCATGAGGAAGCAGTGTGGGGAGCAAACTCATCCCAGGTCTCCCGCGTGGCAAGCCCCATGCAGGTCAGGCTCAGGGAGGCTGTCACTCACTAAGGGTCACCAATTTGGAGCTGGTAGGGAAGAAGTTCAGTCCATACCAGTGGGCCTGCCTGTCTAGAGAGGGGAGCAGCTGACAGCAGAGGCTGGCCTGGGGGACAGAAGACGTGGAGGAAACTCTGATCCAGGGGCTGTTGAGGTGGGAGGTGGTGAGTGCTGGAAACCTGCTGATATCCCTCATGGGAGCACCTATCACCGCCAGGCACATGGCCTGTCTCTAGGCAACGTGTCTTCTCAGCCCAAGCCCACCACAGCCCTCAAAGGAGCCCACTGGCAGGCAGGCTCGCTGCTCCAGTCACAGGCAGGATCATGGAGCAGGCTTGGGGGTAGCCTGGGGTTACCCCAGCATGTGCACCAGTCTAATGGAGGGCACTAACCAGGAGCCAAATCTGGGCATCCCATCCAGTACTCTTGCAAACTTCCCTCACAGACCCTCCTCCTCTGGAAGCCAGCCCAGGAGCCTCAAAGCTGAGGAAGCTGATGAGGGGCCTCACCCTTCTCTGCACTGCCAGCATCCTTTGCAGGTGAAGGCGGGCAAAGATTATTGTTCCTGGAGGCTGGCAAACCAGGTTCTATTGCTGTGTGACTTAGGCTGTGTTCACACCCTCTCTGAGCCTCTTTCTCCTTATTTGTAAAATGAGGGTGACAATTCCCATTTTATAGATTCAGGGCAGGGAAAAATGGGAAAACTTTGACAACACTCAGAAAACTGTGGGTATTAAGGCTTCCAGAGCCCCACATCTGCTGCCTGGTTTACCTCCCAGTCACACTCCTGCCACAGCCCACTTCTCTAAGCCCCGGAGACATGACACAGGCATTGGGTATGCTTAGGGCTACCCCAGCAGGCGACAGCTGGCACAGCAGGGCACAGGTGCACTGAGCCTGCAGCAGGAACTTTGCTTACAGGGCAGGTGTGGAGTGGTCCTCATGCCACCTGCTGTCACCTGAATAGCCAGCTGGGCCCACCCAGCCCCAAGTCTCCACGGTCATGGAGATTCTTAGAACTTGGGTACCATGAGGCCCCATGCAGGGTGGCCATATCGCTCACTTTAGGGGGAGGGTCTGTTCATGAATGTGACATCCTGCATTTGTGTGGGGCCAGCTGCCACTGTGGTCCCCATGCACAGGAAGCTCTACTGAGGCTGGGTTTCACCCACACTCCAGCCTGGGTGGGGCAGGAGACCTGGCCTGGTACCAGCTCCTCTGCCCTCAGCTGAGTCAGGCAAACATGGTAGGAAACGGGGGAGGAACAAGCATGAAATACTATTTGCCCAGCGCTTAAGCCTTCTAATCTATTTCACATTTGTGACAACCCTGGGGGATAAGCATCTCTCAGCCACTGTACAGATGAGTGAAAGTCACACATAAACTAAGCAGCAAAACCCCAGCTCTATCCAACGGCCAAGCTCAAGCCAACTCCACCGATTACGCCTCTCCCCACCCAGTCCCTAATCTCTCCACACCTCAGTTTTCTCATCTGTAAAATTGGTCTAATCCTTACACTTACTTCATAACTGCTCCACTTATGAGCAGTTGAGGATCAAATCAGTCAGTGGATATAACAGTACTATAAAGTAAACTATAAAGCACAGTAATAGCAGTGAAAGCTAATGTGTGCACAAACTTTCCAGCATATGCCCTTCGCCACCAATCATCTCATCTGAGCCTAACAGCAATCCTAGGGAAAAGGTCTGTTGCCTTTAGTTGATGGATAAGGAATTAGACCTGGCTCAGAGACTCTAACTAACATGCTCAAAGACACACAGCTTATAAAAGAAAGAGCAGAGACTGAAACCCTCAAGTCTGATTAGGCCCATGCTTTTTCTGCTACTCACTGAGGATGGGGACCCTCCCTGGGAGGCTTCCTGTCCAGCCACCTCATTTAGGGGATAACACATAAGATGGGAGCCCCAGACGGCAGGGGTGTTGTCTGTTTTGTCCAGTATTGCATTGTCAGTGCCCTGCATAGGACCTCGCACACAGTAGGTACTCAGTAAATATGGTTAAATGTGTGAAAGAATAAGTTGATGAATAGATGGAGAAAGTGAGGCCCAAGAGGGGGAGAAACCTGGCCAAGTCATCAGCATAGGAGGCCTTTGTTTCTGACCTGGATTTATCCATAGCCAGGTACCCTCAGAGAGCGAGGTACCTGGGACAGGAACAGTCGCGTGGCCTCCCCATGGAGGGCAGATGCTGGTCTATGGGTGGCAGGGCTGGGCTGAGTCAGCCCAAGACAGGGAGGAGCATTAGCAGAAGCAGCCTCCCTGACACCCAGCCACCCAGTTCTAAACCTAAGACTTGGGTCTAGAAACCTGATGGGCCAGGAACACCCACCCTGCAGCCTCCTGGGTGGGCCTCCTCCCTGGCCCAGCTGAGAATGAAGGCCAAGTGCTCCCACTTGAGAGACACACCTGTGGCCCAGACCCTGTTGGGTCAACATGGCTGTGTGTACAGACAACACCCACCCCCTATACTCAGGCCACACTGGGTAGGGAGGGACAGGCTCCCCGCCAGAGCACTCTTGAGGCCTGGCCTGGTCCCAAGTGATCACAAACTCGGTATGCGACTGGTGTCTCTGAGACCCAGGCTTCTCATCTGAGAAGTAAAGGGTTTGGCTGGAGAGTCCCCAAGGCCCTGCCCTTCCCTCTAATAGTCGGGTCAAACCAAGGCCTGACCACTGGACAAGTGGCCTCTGTTGAATACTCTACTGTCTCTGACCTCAAGGATTCCCAGGCCAGTAGCAGGACTCATCTGTCACATTCCTGAACTCAGAAGCATTTTCCCCTCTAACAAAGGGAAGGAGGGTGTTCAGGTCCCAGGCCAGCTCACAGATGTCTGCTTCAGCCCATAATACATCCAAATCTGGTGCTTACAGAGTGGTGTGGGAGAATAAGTTTCGTAACCAGCAGGCTCTGCCGCTTTCTAGCTATATAACCCTCACCTTCTTCTTCTGTAAACGGCAACAGTAGTTCTTACCTTGCAGGGGACAGAAGGACTGGAGAAGGTGTATGCAGGCCCCTAATAGGTAGGCACACCCAATACTTGGTTGAATGAATAAATACATAATAAGTGCACACATGATTCACTTTCTCAACAGGGCAAAAATTGGTTCTTGGTATCTTGGTGATACTCTTTATATATAAAGTACAGATACACATAAAGGACATAAACAAATATATAGTATATCTGTGGTATTAAATTTCAGGGGGAAGGATTAAGAAAAAATGGCTAAAAAGCCTCATAGAGGGAGCGAAAATGAAAAATAAGGTTCAGAAATAGTGTCGTAATGCAAGATTTTGTTTCCATCCCCCCATCCTTTTGCATATTCTCTTCTGCCTGTCTAAATGTTTCTTGCTAGTTTAGCCACTTGAGGAAAAGTTAACATTTACTGTGTACCTACTATGTGCCAGGCATGGGGCTCAGTTCTAAATACACAGCATCTCACTCAATTCTCCCTGTGTCCCCTGCACTAGGGAGTGGATGAGTGCACAGACTCTGGGTCCAAGACCTGGCCTTGACACACACTAGCGGGATGTCCTGGGGCAAGTTACTTAACATCTTGGTGCCTCAGTTTGCTACTCTATAAATGGAGTTACTACTTCAGCAGCCTTTTGTAAGGATTAAATGAGTAAATATATGAAAAGCACTGAGAACAAGCCTGGCCCATGTTAAGTACTATACAGGTACTATTATTGCTGTTATTATTATTCCTGTTTTATTTCAGATAAGCAAGCTAAGGCTCAGTGGGTTTGCACGATCTATTTGAAGTCCTACCACTAATAGTGATAGAACTGAGAGAGGATCCCAGTCGGTCTGATTCCTGTGCCTGGGCTCTTAACTCCTATGCTACTCTGCCCTATACCACGCTGAGCTCAGCTGCCACCTCCTCCAGAAAGCCTTTTGAGATTTCTCCATGTCTCCAAAGGACAATGTCGGCACCTCTCTCACAGCTCTAACTTCTCTGGTTGGTCAATATCGACTTCTGTCATGGGGCTTTAAACTCCTCCAGGACTGTGTTGATCAGCCTTCAAGTCCCCAGGGCATAGACAAAGCCTGGTCCAGAGAAGGAACCACGTGAGTTTGCTATGCAAATGCATGACAGAATGGTGCTCAACCTGTGGCCCCCACCCATTGCCCTCACCCTGCCCCCACTGACCTGCAGCTCTCCTTCTCCAAGGGCTCCACAGTGAGGTAGTACAGGTCTCTGGAGAGGTGATATGGGTCCCACTGGGGTGGCCCCCAGGTGCTGGCCTTGACGGACCACAGCAGGCCGAGGAGCAGCAGCAGGCCACCTGTGCCGCAGCAGAAGAAGCTGACAGACCTGAGCAGGGACCTGGGAGCCTCAGGCACAGGGTGCCCAGCAGGTGGGGCCGGCTGGCCAGGTTGGGCTCCTGAATCCCCTTCACTCCACCACGCGAAGCATAGTGTCCCCGCCACCAGAACCACCATGCCACTAACCATCATGCAGTAGCGCAGAGTGATGGCCATGTGGCCCCTGGCACAGGTCTGGACGTGGAGAAGGAGAGAGAAGAGTAAATGGGTGAGAGACCTGCCAGGTGCTAGAGACCCAGGTTTCAGTCCTCCTCTGCCTGAGTTCACTGTGCAACCCTGGAGAGGTCAAGCCTTTGCTGGTAACATTTTAAACACCGAAGTCCCCTGGGCCTTCCTGGATCACAGCACTTACCTGTATTTAACTTCTCCTTTGCTGTCCCTATTGATCCTGTTCACTGCTATATCACCCAGTGCCTGGCACATAGTAGCCGCTCAATAAATATTTGTTAAAGAAATTCTCTTAAATGAAGTAAAGTGTTGCTGGGCAAATGTTTGTTGTGTGAAAAACCTGCCTCGCAGCTGGGAGGAGCTGGGCAATGGGAGGGAGCACAGGATTCCAGCTGCTCCAGTCCCCAGCCACGGAGCGAAGGCCTGTCTTTGGTCCCAACTCTGCCGTTCACCATCTGTGTCCTGGGGTAAGCCTCTCAGCTGCTCTGGTCCTGTTGCCTCATCTGTATAAAGGGCAGGCTCTCCAGCAGGCTGCTAGGAAAACAGAGCAACTGCAGCTCCTCTTCCAAAAGCTGAGCCAGTGAAGCAGGGGGCTGGAGAGCTCACAGACCTCAGAGAGACTTTAATGACCAAACGTGGTTCCTCTGAACAACGCCCTGCTTCGCCACCATTCAAAGGCACGCTCCTAGGAGAGCAGTGGGGCATGGCACACGCAATTCTCCAGATATAGTAGGTGAAGCTTCCAAAAGGGCATGTTCCCACCAGAGGGGTGGAGAATGGGCAGGAAAGGGGGAGGGAATTAAGTACAAACTTCCAGTTATAAAATAAGTTATGAGAATGCAAGGTGCAGTGTAGGGAATAGAGCCAATAACATCATAATAATTATGTATGGTGACAGATGGTTACTAGGTTTATGGTGGTGATCACTTTGTAAGGTATATAAATGTTGAATCACTACGTTGTACACCTGAAACTAATATAATACTGTATGTCGATTATAATTTAAAATAAATTAAATTTTTTAAAGGGGCATGTTCCCAAATGTGTTTTAAAATGTGTGTGTGTGTGTGTGTGTGTGTGCGCGCGCGCGCACGCACGCACACATGGGTGAGAGAATGTATACATCTAACGAGGTGCTCTAGGAGTAGACCTCAATCTTTCTGAACCGTCAGGCCACCAAAAGCACATAGAAAAACGCCATTTGTAAATTACCTACAGTTCTCTGTCTGTGAATCTGTCTTTGGGGCAAGTACCTCCATTCTCCAGCTCAAGGCATTTTCATGGGGGGAGAAAAAGAACCTGACTACCCCCTCCCCAAAGTCAGACAGCTAGGAGAGGCTGTCAAGAAGAGGCTGTCAAAAGGAAACGCTGGAGAAACCAACTTAAAAAAAAAAAAGAAAAAAAAAACCAACAAATCAATAATAGCAAGCCCTGGCCTATATATCATGGCACTTGATGGCTGCCCTTCATACCCAGCATCTCATCTCACAAGGAAAGAAACTCCTGCTTTGCAAATAAGGAGATGGAGCCCAGCAGGGTGAGGGGCTTTGCCCAAAGCCAGATAAGGTTTTATGGGTTGAGAAACCCATAAAGAACTCACTCCTACATAAGGTAAGTTACATTGCTTTTTACTTTCTATAAAATTAACAGTTGCTCATTGCAAGAAAAAGAGAAAAGCACAGAGGGGAATAAAAATGCAAAAATACAAATCATCATTCAGCCTGTCCCTCAGAGATGAGCGTGAGCCCCATGTGGCTGTTCCCCTTCCATTTCTCCCTTGGCTTCCATACATGATGATGGGGGGAAGCAGGTGTGTGCAGGGCATCTACACGGGCTGGGCACCACACCAAGCACTTTACAGGAGTCCCGTTACTTAGTCCTCACAGCAGCATTATGTCCCAAGGACACTAGGACTCTGAGAGTGACAATCTGTCCGAGGTCGGTGCCAAATTTGAACCCAGGTCTAGTCTGACTCAAATTCTTGCGTGTGTGTGCACAGCTGGATCTAGCTATATTTTTTAGTATATAAAGTTGAGACCTTACTGTGAAGAGATGTATCTGTAAGTCTTTGGTACAGGCAGTCCTCACTCTCTAGAACGCACTGCCCTGCCCTCCTCAGACAAGGCCCTGCAATTACCCTTAGCATGTTCTCAAAGCTGTGGTCATCTCCCACTGTGTGGATCTCCCTCCTTCTATGTGGATTCCCGCCCCCACCCCCCACCCCCACCATGGGCAGGCAGGGCACATGCTAACCTGCCATCCCCAGAGGGTGGAGGGTGTCAATCTCCACTGGATGAAGGACAGCCTGTTCTGTTGCTGTGCAGTGGTTTTCATTATCATCACCCATCAGGGCTCTGACTGACTACCAGCAGGGTGTCCCAGTGCAAGATTCCCCCTGGCCTGTTTCAGAGAGTGGTCTTCAGGCAGCTTACTCACCTCTCGCACTCATGTACCCAGAACCCCAATAGAGGAAGAAGAAAGGGCTCCTTGCCCTGGAGGGCATCACCTCAAACCCAGAGAAGTCCCACACCTGATCCTGGCATTCAGTCAGGGCCTTACCAAGCTGGCCCCCTTCCTCAGCTCCCTCATACCCCCCACACACACACCCAAACTCCTGCCATCTGGGGGCCTCTATACGTGTTGTTCCCTCAGCGTGGGGAGCCCGCTGTCCCCATTGTGGCCCTCATTTCACAGCCCCACCCTTTCAACACCATCTCCTCCCAGAAGCCTTTCTGCTGCTGCCACCCCCACCTCCCACCAGCTAGAGGAGACCTTCCCCTGCATGCGATTTATTGCTCCTTCTAATTAGCTCTGTGACCTTGATCAGACTGCTCAACATCTTTGGGCTCCAATTCCTGCCTCCCAGGGAGGAGCAAATTGTGAAGATGAGATGGCAAAGATGGCAAGCTATGAGTGAAGCATGGTGACACAGAGCTAGACAGAGGATCGACCCTGGTTCTAACACTGGGCAAGTTACCTGGCTTCTCCGTGCCTCCCTTCCCACAGTATTATCGTGCTACTAACAAGGGAACTTGAGGTGCCAGTTTTCTGTAAAGAACTAAACCGTCTGAACAAGTGGCCCAGACCATCTCCACATACCTGCTGGGTAAACTGAGGCCCTGAAAGCCATGGCCCTAGGCCACCCAGCGAGTTAGAACACAGGAGACCTGGGTGTCCTGACTCTGCCCACCAAGCCACCGTGGTCAAGGTAAAGGGAAGGGGCCAGGCTGGGTCGGCATTACAGGGAGGTGAGATGCTCCTGAAAGAGGGAGAAAAGGAAGCTTGTACCCACCGCTGGCGTAGCCATCACGAGGCAGGCGGTTAGGCGCGGTCCAGGAATGGGGAGCCAGGAGCCGGTAAAGGCATGATGGCCATCGGACTGGAGAGGGCGCGAACTTGGGAACAGCGTCCCTCGGGTCTGCAGGGGGCGTCGGCCGTTCCGGGGCGGCAGTCCCTTAGACTCCCTCTCCGCGCCTTGCAAAAGTGCTAAGGTCGTGCTCCGGTCTCATCGCGGGGTCTCGCCTGTCCCCGACCCACAGCCCCCGTCCGCCCCGTCGCTCCAGCTGCCCCGCACTCGGAGCGGAGGTGCGGAGCCCGGCTCCACCCGGCCGGCGCCGGTTCCCCCGCTGCGCGCTTCCGCAGCGCCTTTGCAACCCGGCGGGGGCGCCGAGCTTCGCGCAGAGCTCGGGCTTCGCCCTCGACTCCAGGAGTGACCGCCCTCCGGTCCCGGCCCCGGCCCTAGCTTGTTCGACTGCGGCCGGGCGTCCTGGGCTTGGGCACAAGGCGCGCCCCGCCCCGCCTCTCCTGGGATCCGCGTCCTTGCGGGCCGCAGGGTCCGGCGGAGACTGGAGGGCACCAGGGTCCGGAAGGCTCCAGGGCGGTTCCAGGTGCTTCGCCACCGCCCAGCCCGACCCGCCCGACCCGCCCGACCTTAAAGCGACAGCGCGAGCAGGACTGGCTGAGGTTAGGGTTTCCCAGCGCCGTGAGAGCGGCAGACCGCTGTTACCTGGAACCACCTGTCTTTGGGGCCGTCCCGTCCCCACTATCCCACTGGGGCGGGCTTGGAAACGGACAGACTGTTCCAATAGCCATCAATGATCAGTCAGAGAGGGCTCTAGGACCCCCGAGCCCATGCCGCCTCATTCCATTTTATAGCAATGGAAACTGAGGCCCGAAGAGGGAAAGTCATTGGCCTAAGTGGTTTTACTGCATACTCCCTTGACAACTGGCTTTTTCTTCCCACAGCGGTCAATTTAAGAGCAAGCCCTCCTGGAAGGCCCTCCAGGACCTCACATCCTGAGGTGGAAGGCATTCACAGAAATAGTGGTCCCCCATTTAAGTGCTTCCCACAGCCCCAGTTAAAGGTTACTGCCCCAGCCAGTGAGAGGCCAGGGAGAGTGGGGCTTGAGGGCAGGGCCTCCCACCTATTGAGTGACCTAATTTCTCTGAACCTTCTTCCTCCTGTGTCAAAGGAGTATAAGGATCCTAATTCACAGGTCTGTGAGGACTGAATGAGTTAAGCAGTGAATGTTAAGCACTGGCCCATTTAACCAATGCAGGCTAACAGCAGTTTTTGTGAACAGGTGATTTGGGCACCTGGAGTGAGGGTCAGGGGTGTGTGTGTGTGTGTGTGTGTGTGTGTGTGTGTGTGTGTGAATTCTATGGGAGGACACCACAATTGTCTTAGAAAGGTGAGAAGGAGGCACAGTGTCCAGGCTGAAAAAACAGCATGTGCAAAGGCTGGACAAAGTCACAAGCTGGTTAAACCTTGACAAGTTCATGTGGGTCAAAGGAAGCCAGTTCCCAGACCAGCCAGGGCCTGTTTTTGTGTTTTCCTGCTGCTCCAGCAAGGCAGGGGACAGGGCCTAAGTCCCCTCAGCCATGCCAAGGATTCCCCACGGAGCTGGTGGGGTGCACTTTCATTACAATGGCTTTTTTGTGTGTGAATTCCCTTATTAGGTGGTGACCTCCCTGAGGGCAGGGACTAGTTGTGACTTGGCTCAGGACTCAGCCAGACCCAGCAGGGCCAAGACCATTGGGACTGGGTCCTGATTGGAACCCAGGGATCTGGCCCAGTTCTTCTGTCTTCCTCTTCTCCACGTTTTGGGAGCTCTGGGACCCCACAGGTTTGGGCATACTTGCAGACTCTTTCTGAGCAAACAGCCTCGGATGTTCCCTGGCACCAGGTGGGAGACTCACAGGAGAAAATTGATCACCAGCTTTCTGCTTCAAGGGGCTGGAGAAGGGGGCTACCACTTGCACCTACTTATTACATGTCACCAGCCAGCAGCTTTTCTCATTTTGTTTTTTAATTCATTTTTCAATTACAGTTGACATACAATATTATATTCATTTTTCTTGTTTAATGGTCACCTTAGCACAGTCGTTGAGGTCAAGAGACAAATGCCCTGCCGAGAGTCACACAACTAATACGTGAGGGGTAGAAAGTGGGGATGGGAAGAGGAGGTGCTAAAATCCACATGGGTCTGAATCTTCCAGACCCACATGCAAACTATGCCCTTTCACAGATGAAGAACAGTTGCCAGCCCTGTAAAGGAAGAAAACTATTTCCCTAAACACAGCCTCATCTGCATAGACTCTGCCCACTCTCCCACGCCACAATCTTGGGCAGGTGATTCCTGGGGCTCATGGCCACATTTGGCAGAACAGTGAGAAATAAGCACTGCTTTGCCAAATGGAATCAGGACTCTTCGGGTTGTTATGAGGATTAAATGAGTTATTATGTAATGTGCTTAGCAACCGTTTTTGGCTTATAGTAAGCACTTAGTAATAGTGGCTACTACTATTATTATTATTATTTTGTCTAAGTAGAAGAGAAGCAATGAGAATCCATGATCTCCTTGGCAGAGCCCCCTCCCTTTCTTCTCCACCTCCTGCCTCCAGGACAGGGGTTCAATGTCCTTTCCCAGGACCACTACCTAGAGACAACCAACCACTGTAACATTTTGATATAACTATCCAAAGTGTACATTTTTGGACATACATTGCATACCATTTCAGTAGCTTTTATTTTCATTTCACAGAATTCCTCGTGGGTATCTTCCCATATCTCACTGCATTTTAATTATTTGTTTTCATGTCTTGCTCCCTATGGACATCATCTGAGGGCAAGAATGAACATCTTATGTCCTGTTCCCCCACTCCCACTCCCACCCCTCTCATGCCATCTCAGCTGGCATACATAGGCCCACCATGAATATATATTGTGAACAGCATGAGATACGCAATGATGGTGGGTTGTTCTGTCCCCTGCCTAGGAGGGAAAAAGGTTTATGGGAGGGCGGGGGGCATTTCAAGGTCTGCCAGCAATGCAGCTAAGGCCGGTCAAGGTCTGGGGTGGGATATCTTTAAAGAAGGATCTCTGCACACATTCCTTAATGCCAAATAGCAGGTTTGGCTTCATGAAAAAGGGAGTTTAGGCCAATGTTCTCAACCCAGGGTGATTTTGCCAAACCCCAATCCCAGAGCACATTTGGCAATGTGGGGAGACATTTTTGGCTGTCACGCTGTGATAAATGCAGCCGGGGCGGTGGTGGTGGTGGGGGGGTGCTACTGGCATCTAGTGTGTAGAGGCCAGAGATGCTGCTAAACATCCTGCAGCACACAGGACAGCCCCCTTAAAAAATTACCCGATCCCAGGTGTCAAGTGCCAAGGTTGAGAAGCTTTGATTTAAATAGCTAAACTTTGGAGACTAACTGGTTCAAAGATAGTCAGACCATGTTCTGCAGAGAGAAGGGAAAATAAATAAATATAAGTATATGATATAAAGAAATATAAGAGAGAATAAACCTGAGATTCTAGAAATTCAGCCCTGTTTTCCTATATGGTATAGAAAAGTCTCAGAAATGCTAACATATAACTTCTAAACCAGACCTTCCATTGTGTCTGTTGTATATAAGGAGCGGAAAGGGTGAAGTGGGCAAAGACCCTGACACCCCCCCCCCAGCCAGTCAGAGCATGTGCCCTTTTTGTCAATTTTTTTTTAAGTTGTAGTAAAGGAGTTTATTAGAAGTAAAAATACATTTCAAAGAAGCAGAAGCGGGCCCGAGCAGTAGAAAAAATAGAGGAGAATGGCTCAAGGGCCATTATTAGAAAAGAAAAAGTATATTCCAAAGAGTTTGGGCCCCGAGCAGAGGCAAGGCTCAAAATGCTCAAAAGGCCCTTTTTGTCCATTTTTGATGCTAGAGTTCTGTGTTAGTTTTTCTCTGGAGAAAAAAATCCTAGGGCTGGGGGATGAGTGGAGAAACGGTTTGAAAAACACTGACCCACTTGGATCTCTGTTTTTATAGGCCCAGGAAAGGAAAATGAGTTGCTTGAAGTGACACAGGAAATCTGAAGCGTAACAGGGACCCAAACACAGAGTCCAGAGCCCTTTTTTACCGGCCTCTTAGCCGCTACATAGAATCACTGATGTTTGGGTTAGGAGTCGGGCGCCTGGGGTTCAGGGGTTGGCAAACTATGTCCCACAAACCAAATCTGGCTCACTGCTTGTCTTTGTATGGCCTGCTAACTAAGAATAGCCTTTTTACATGTTTTTTCATGGTTGAAGAAAATCAAAAGAAGAAGAATATTTCATGATCCATGCACATTTCACAAAATTCAAATTTTAGTGTCCATAAATAAAGTTTTATTGCAACACAGCCAAGCTCATTCTTTACATATTCCTTTTTGCTATAATGTCAGAATTAAGGAGAAACCATGTAGCCCATAAAGCCTAAAATATTTACTATCCGAGCCTTTTCAGAAAATATTTACTGCTCCCTGCCCTAGCCTTTGGCTCAGTCCTGGCTCAGCACTAATGTGCTGTGTGATCCTGCGTAAGAGGCTTGCTCTTACCCCGCAGCCAACCTGCAGCCTTTGTACCTGGTGGCTCTATGGGTTCCTAGAATTCTGTATTTAGGAGACAGTCCGTTCAGGGAGAAGCAAGGAGCTGCTGTGCCCTCTGAGATCATGTTCTAAATGAGGAAACTGCTGTCTGTGGGTAAGAAAAGGATTAAAACCTTAAGGCCTCAGCTTCCTTGGAAGACATTTTCTACCCAAATGAGATGGCCCCATGCTATTCTGGGGCCTCTATTCTGGGAGGGCCCATGGCTGCGCCTGGGCCAGCAGCCCTGGAGCAGGGGAGACGCAGGCCAGTCAGAAGAGGAAATCTTGTCTGCCAGCCAAGACAAAGCGCTGAGAGCCTGGAGAGTATGTGGACGGGGGTGCTGGCAACGGCCTTGATTCCAGGGGTGACCTCTGGGCGCTCAGGCAGACACAGGAAAGGGCTCAGATTCTGGAAAACAGCCAGCTGCTCCCTCTGTTTCCAGAGATCCTGAGAAAGATACAGCGACCCAGCTTTCTGTGTGGGGAGCTAGTCTCCATATGCTGAAATAGGGTGGGAGCGGGGAGCTGGCTAGGCAGACAGGAGGCCTGGTTTGGGTCTGGACTGTAGCTCGTGGCCTTGGCCAAGTTTCTGTCCCCTCTCAGCCTCAGTTTCCCTATCTCTAGAAAGGTAGGGTCCTTTCAAGCTCTGGAACTCTATTCTGGGGCTTAATTCTCTTTCTTCCTCTCCTTCCACCTCTTCTGAATTGAACTCACTAATCAGCAAGTTCCCATCCAAGTCTAATAAAATCCTGGACTCTGATTGCTCAGAGTCAGTGCTTCCTTTACAGGTATATAGAGTCTTCTGGATTTGTCTACTGCTAACCCAGGATTTGTGAAGAGCCCTAGTTCCTGCCTCAACTCCTGCCTCCTGTGCCAATCCATTCCCAATCCCAGCTCCACTCACCCAATGGCTGATGTCCCAGAAAAACTTCCCACTCAGCCCATTCAAACCAAATCACCATTTCCACCCCGAGCTGCCCTGTCTCCTGTGGTCAATG